GCGGTCGTTGTTGCAGCTTGCAGCGTTGTGCGTTAAGTGTGAAACAATGATGACTATTGCATGCGCTCGCTCAATATAAGTACGTAGTAGAGATGACACACGCGTGCATGAGATAATTGTATCGTAAATATGCATATTATATGCATCATATTCTCAGTACCATTTTTATCGAGAAAACTGCATGCGCTCGCTCAATATAAGTACGTAGTTGAGATGACACACGCGTACATGAGATAATTGTATCGTAAATATGCATATTATATTCATCATATTCTCAGTACCATTTTTATCGAGAAAACAACATTCATTGCGGTTGCAGTATTTTTTATATAATTTCTTAGTAATACATGAATGTATCGTTTGTCCGGCGGAAATTCCAATTACAAGTTGCACATGAGAGTAGAATTTTAGAAATATAGAAATTCGTGTATGATTATTGTATATTTGCTGCCTAATTTTTTTTCAGTCAAGATTTTGATTGGGGGGGTAAACGAATTTATATTTGCTATCTGAGATTTTTGACATCATTCTCTATCAAGATGTTGATGTGGGTAGACGTATTATTTTTTATTTCAACTTTCACATACGTGCTTTGCAACGATTTCTCCGAAAAAGACGCTATAGTATACCTAACTCAATATGAACATATCATCGATAATACAACAGATCTCTCTACTTTGCTAACTAACTTGCAAGAAAAGTATAATTTACCAGTGGATGGATTGTTGAATAATGCAACAATTGAATTTATGAATCGTCCGCGTTGTCAATACAGTGATGCTGAATTTAGAGCAAGTTTTCCATTTCGGAAACATGACCTGAAATGGTATTTCCCTCGAAACACACCTGCGGCCCAAAAAGATGCAGAAATGGCTTTTCAGATGTGGCAAAATGTTTCAAACTTAACATTTACAATGGTTACCAATCCCACTCTATATCCTCCTGATATTACTATAACCATGGTTAGCAAGACTCATTATTTTAGAGCAAACTGTATGGGTAATGATGAATGTCCATTGACATTAGATGATGCTGGCGGCGTTTTAGGACATGCATACTTTCCTGACTCTAGCGGCACCTGTAGAGAAATCCATTTAGATATAAATGAACGCTGGTATTTTGGAAATAATCCTAATATACCCAAAAATCAAACTAGTTTTCTTATGGTGTTGGTTCATGAAATTGGACATGCCCTCGGCATAGCACATAGTGCTTCTCCGAATGCTATTATGTTTGCCTTCTATCAGCATGAGATTCGTGGTCTAGATGTTGATGATATAAATGCAGTACAATATCTATATGGAAGAAAAAACAAATATGATTCAATCCCAAAGTCTACCACCGCATCAGCAATACCAAAAACAACAACAACTATAAGATCTACAACTCGTAAGCAGCCGATCCTCAAAAATTTGTGTGATATTATTCCAGATTTTATGTTTTTAGCCATTGCTCCAGAGTTTTCAAATTACCGATTATATATTGCACATGATATGTTTATATGGAAACTAGACTTAAACGAAATGATTATCCCATCTCAGCCTGAACTTCTTGTCGATTATGTTCCTACAGAATTACGTCAATACACTTTACAACATATTTTCCAATCAACAAACGGTGACTTGATTACCATTGTGTCTCCAAGCAACTATTTCTCAGCATCATTCCCTACCATTAAATTTCTTGATAATTTTTCAATTGATATACCCGATAGGGCTCGAATCAATGCTATTTTTCAATCAAACGCAGGACGGTCCTATACCTTTTATAATAATATGTCATATATAGAATTTTCTAACGATTTTACTGATGTGTTGAACAGAGGACGGATAAGAGACATATTTCCTGAATTACCTGAAGATATTTCTCTCGCATTTCGATGGATTGATGGCCATATTTACTTTTTCCGTCACGCAACTTACTATAAATTTAATGAATTTACAAGAAAAGTTGTTGCGACCGGACCATTTCATTGGACTCTATTTGGAGTACCATGCCCCAGCCAGGATTTGTTACATCAACTAAAAACTCTGTTATCTAAACTTGTATCTGTATATCATTAAAAAATACATTTTTCAGAAATCTATGTTTATTTCGTATTCAGCCTGTTGTCAAACAAAAAAAAAACAGTCGGTTCCTTCGACTCCCCACCCCCCCACCATCATTCTACTACATAAAGTTTCATTTTGAACGGTATCATCCTGTATAATAATAACAGTACATCGTATACAGGTTATGAGACATTCTGACCGACCGACCGACTGACCAGAGGAGCCCACCACGCTATTTAGGTCACGCCTTGCTATATACGATTTAACGATATACCGTCGGTCCATCGATCCGCTATTTTTCGATGCACCCCTGTATACACGTTCTGAATGCCCCCCGTAATCCACGCCAACACCAGACAGGTGCGACATCGGCGCCATCTATGCGCGAGATGCCCAACCCATCAATGGCAGCTGTCCAATGACACATAGATTCCGTTTGGTTTGTACAGCGCCAAACAAATCGGCGCCACCTATGCGCGAGATGCCCAACCCATCAATGACAGGTGTCCAATGACGTATGACAGATGACGTGTAACGCCATCTATGCGTGAGATGCCCAATGACGCATGACAGGTGTCCAATGACACACAGATTCCGTTTGGTTTGACAGCGCCATCTAGCGGCGGAATCCCCAACTCATGAATACAGATTCCGTCCAACAACCTGTCAATGGCGCGCGACGCCAGCGCCTCTGGTGGCGGATTTTGGAAGTTTTGAGACCGAATCCCCATAAGACATCTACTCTCCCCTCCAAGCCCGGCCGCTCCAGTGTTGCCAGATTCAACGCTACGTTGCCAGTCTCATCACTAAATTTACAGACCTCGTATCTACTTTTGCAACACAAAACTTCCTAAATGTTAATTGACAGGAACAGTGTTATTCTAATAATACAAGAGTTTTAATTTAGCGGGTTTGACAGACTGTATACTATTAGCTTATTATCCAAAAAAACATTGCATAAATTGAGTAAAAAAATCTATACCAATCTTTAAGCGCACAAGTCATTTGAAGCAGTATTCGTATAAAAAACAAAAACATTTGGTACATATAGCAGCCTCTTAGTACAGGCAATCGCGCGGAAGAGATGATACTTTCTTGGGTTTCCTCATTTTCCAGGATATCGACCTTTTCTCGTCCATTACTATCCAATGATAAGTCCACAGATCTTCCTTGTTTTGTCAGTCTTCATCAGATGATTTATATTTTGTTTATTTTTATCTGATATAGAATTTCCAAAAAAAAGGCAATGAACACGTACAAACTTGTCTATTTGGATATACCATCTTTTGCTTGAAAAATTCGCATATAACCTGGTTTGGTACAAATATCGAACTTTACTTAACGGTTTTGGTTGCATATGAAAATATGGGGCTATAGCTATAATTATGAGATATCCAGAAACTATTAAAAAGCATGCGAAAAACTGGATACATCTGCTTTACACACAATCTCCTCAATTGTAATTCTTCTTAACGGTACTGACGCTTAGACTATTAAATAATAGGTTAGACCAAGCAGATCGACTGAAATCTATCAAACTGACATAATGACATAATAGCTATAACCTCATACAGATTGTCGTAAACAAGAGCGACGTCACTGATGCTGATTCGTGTATAGTCCGTTTACGATAACGTTCAACTGCCGTTTATTGATTGTTATATAAAGAACATTGCAGTTACCCTTACACTTCATCATTTTTCAACGTATCTTTTATATGTTTTCCATAACTAATAATCCTACATCCTATATCAGCAACGTTTAAAGGAATAGCAAAGAATACCAGAGACACCGAAAGGTAGATGACAAACAGACTGAGGGAAATGAGCGACAAAAAAGTAAGTTTATTTTTAGGCGTCGTCAAGAACGCTAATAATAAAAAAATATAAGAGGGAGACTCGCACCGTTGTCAGAACACTACATAATAATTTTGTGCATTTTGCATTTCGAATGTGTTTGAATCTTGCAAATCAATGCATTACAGGTTACAGGTATGTAGCCGATCAGCCATATATCATTTTGAAGTATTTAAAGCCCATATTTCTTCATCTGCTTCGCTGGCTGCCTGCCTGTGGACAACTACCTCTAAATCCGAACCAGAATTAATTCTGGTTCATAATTACTCGGAAAATCGAGGGTGGTGCAAGCGACGAGGACGAGACAGGGATAAATTGGGAATATTGATCCTGTTAATAAATTTTGTCTGATGAGAAAACGCCATGTGCCATGTGTATCGACCAAGTGATTTCAGCGCCAGACAGAAGATTGGAACATGTATGTATCCTTCAAGTCACAAATATCTATTTGTAGTGGAGTCTAGGCGTTAACAAGGTGCATGTGTATGACAAGAAGATAGGTTATATGGGGTTGGGATATACAGCATTGTTCGGGTTATACAAAGAGCTATCCCGGAATCGTTCTAATTCCGTTAATTGGTTCTAGATATTTCAAGCAGCAATGCGCGTGGCTAGCGTTAGTTCAGAACGGTATGGGATCGTTCCTTCTCAGAACCAGAATAAATCTAATATCTCACACTAAAATTGCGGAAACTAACTCCCTGTAAAGTTTGCTGAGAACAGGAGTAATAATAGTTTGTTCGTATGGGGAATATTAATACTTACCAATTGTGCTTCAAGAAACCAAAACACCTACTATTTGCACGTCTATAAAATGACGTTGGACAATAATTTGATACCAGCGCAGTTCTCTGGGTTCAAACGCACAATCGCAACGATTTAAATTTCATTTGGACACAAAAGCCAAACACACTTTTTGGTAGGTTTCGGCAGGAATATTTTCAATCGCTTTCGTAATATTGATCTTCAGCTGCTCTACAGTATTTGGTTTGTTGGCATAAACCATATTTTTCAAAAATCCTCACAAAAAAGTCAGAAGCCGTTGAATCCGGTGACCTTGGTGACCAGTTAACATCACCAAATCGACAAATTAAACGTCCCAAAAATATTGAAAAGATTCATTGTTTCCCTGTGACACTGGGCACGTTATTTCGACCGAAATCTTTTCGTAGCTTCCGAATCGTTGCAACAATCGACTCATTATTTAAGTAAAACGTTTTAACAATACGGACGCGTTGTGGGATCGTGTAGCTCTCCATGATGAATTGGTTACAGGTGCTTTAAACAACTACTGAAACGCGAGTATCAAAAATGGCGCGCAATTTAAATCAGTCAGTTATACAGGGTGCGGCAGAGAGGACGGTCGTTTTTGGGATGGGTAGTACTCTCCGCCTCCGTCTACGAGAGAGGTGGGGAGGGTGCCGTTTGACTCGTGAGATCCTAGCATTATTTTACCAGTTGTTGTTATGGAGCCTTGGACGGTGGAGCACCGCGTTTTCGCCTATGATTGTTTCGTCCGAAATAATGAGTCAGTCATCGTCGTACAGCGTGAGTTTCGTCGCCACTTCATCATTCATCGGAATAGAGCTGTTCCCTCTCGAAACACCATCCTTCGTTGGGTTGAATCACTTCGCAGGCGTGGTGAACTGAGCAACAGAAGACCAAGAGGAGCGCCGCGAACAGTTCGAACTCCTGAAAATGTTGAACGCGTTCGATCTGCCCGGAAACATGCTGCTGCACTTCGCCTTAGTGATCGTTCGGTAAGGCGAATTTTGCATATGGATCTCCGCTTTCACCACTACAAATTGGCCATTGTGCAACAGTTACAGCCCGGAGATTATGCACAACGAATGAACTTCGCACGTGAGATGGAAGCACTGATCGATCAAAATGAGAACCTCAAGGCTAGAGTATACGCGAACAAGCCCCGAACTCTGGACGAATTGAAGGGCGAAATTCGCGTGGAAGTCGCCCAAGTTGAGAGAACGATGTTGGAGAGAGTCTACGCGACCTTCCAAGAACGCCTCCAGCACTGCATCAACGATTTCGGCCACCACATGCCTGATGTGACTGTCTCAAATGCTATTTCCTTGTGAACCTGATTCCATCAATAAATTAGTTTTCGAGTAAAAATTAACTATTTTATGATTTTTTTAAAATCGCCCATCCTCTCTGCCCCTCCCTGTATTTTGGCCACCCTGTACCAATCGTCTGGCCATGCTTCTGCTGATGTGATTTATGTCTTCTCGATGTATCCCAAAGTAGATGCATTTGTTTCCGAAGAGTTCAATGGGCAAAAGGTCTGGTGAATCAGAAGGTCAAGCAAGAAAGATTGCTTTGATCGTTATAGAGGTAGTCCACTGTAGATCTACCAATATGGGGACGCCTACTGTATTGTTGGAAAATATGGATCTCAAACAAAAAAGATGAGGTTCTAGTATTTCCTAGATATACCATTACGCTGTCATACCTCCTCTAATGT